AAAAAAAAAAAAAAAAAAAAAAATCCACTGGCTCTACCTTAATCATTGAAAAATGCCTGGCGGACCCTATCAATATTTTAGTCTAGGAAGCGCCGATCATAGTGATGAAAACGGCAAGGATGGCACATGAAGCCACAATCCCACTCGGGGAGGCTGCTCCGTCCAGTTCCTGTTGGGCCTCTGACTTGCAAGTAACATCGGATGAGCTATTCTCAGGAGTGAGAGGGAGGAAGAATCACGCCGATATGTTTAGAATACGAAAGATCGCTGGCAGGGGGGCCTCTGAGAAACCAGCGAGCACTTTCCACGCAACGAAGCCAGCAGCAGACACAGGCCCCTGCTCGCGCTTTAGTGCGCGTCACACGCCCAATAACGCTGGTCCCAACAGCGCCACCGACGACGCCCCAACCACCAACCGCAACCTGCTTCAAGGGCGAGTGCGCGGCTTTAGAACAGAGGACCGAGCCCTCTGCCCCGCATCCTTACCGATCACTTTTCCCAGGAAGAGCGACTTGGGAGAGTTGAACAGCGTGTCGGAGGCGCTCGGCAGGTGGTAGCTCACAGAGGGATAGTGATCCAGCTGCGGGAAGAAAGCGAGAGTCACTTTTAGGAGAATGTCCCTGCCCTGCCCTGGATTCGAATCTTCCCGGGGCGGGGGGAGATATCACTCTGCGAACCTTATTTCATCAGGAGTCTGACCACTCCTTCGATGGGTTGTTTGAAAACAACGTGAACTCTTCATGCACATTTTCTGTGGGTAATTTACCTCCTGGATTAGGATCCTTGTCTATTTACTGGGATAAAATCTGCTTGATCCAAATCTCTGGTACTGATCTCTGAGACAGAAAATGCTACATCGATAGCAATGAATTCTGTTCGGGATCCTCTTACTGTCCTGTTTCCTCCACCTTCTTGCACTATCAGCTTATAGACCAATAGTAACCTTCAGAACACATATATATTCAGTAACTTCTTTCTGCCACAGGGCAGGTGAGCTGGCCTGAGGGGGGGAGGAAGCCCACGCGAACAGCCTGCACCGATGGCAGGGGGAGCAATGCCCATTTCTGAGTACATTTCCCGCGGAAAAAGTGCCAATGGGGCTGTCCCAGGGCCACAGGACTTGTCCTTTGTGTCCCTGGGTGGCTTTTCCTGCCTTAGGTGACATAGAAAGAGATACAGTCTAGTTGTGTTTCCCCAACAGCCAGCTCCTAGAGCCTCCTGTGCTTCTTTGTATCCACCTGTGAAAGAAACCTCTTTTGTAACCTCTCCTCTCCTCTGAAGTGAGTGTAATACCCATCTCAGGAATTTGGGGAGCTCTGACCTGCAGAACTGCAAGGCTCTGTGCCTGGGCGGGTATCTGGTAACATGGGAACAAAAGTCCAAAACACACCATTCAAGCAAACACTGGCATGTTCCACTCCAATTTTGAAAAGCCTTTAAAAAAAAAATAATTTCAAGTGCATCATAAACAAAACACTTATTCTGGCAGGAGAATCTTAAATATTCGAAATCGCATAGAGTTGTTTCTGTGGCGCAAAGGCGACTCCGGGTTTTTTTTGCTGCTGAGGATTCGGAGCTGCTTTGGCTCCATCTGGTGGCAGCCATGGGTAACTGCTGCCCCTCCACCCGCCCGTATTATCTGCTGTCAAAATAGGCGGTTCTGCGATGCTTCACCGTGATTGATAAGTACTTCTTATAACTTAATCTTTCCCGGTAAAGAGCTGAGAAAATGATACAAACAATACATGCTCATTTTAGGAAAATAATAGAAATTTGGAGGAAAAGGGAACTGGTGGCAATGTTAATTTTTAAATGTACGTTCTTGCGATTTTGTACAAAAATTGGATGGAACCCAGCTACACATATTGCTTTGCATGTATTTCTCATTATTTAATGATGTAGCATAAAACACCTTGTGTCAATACATACACAACTAAAGCATCATTTGAAACGAATGACTCGTACTCCATATTATGAATATATAGTCCATGATCTTTAAAAAATATCAAATTTTTATGTTTAGGCTCTCAGATGTTTTGTGTCTTCGGGCCCAGTACAGCGCGGAGCACATAGTAGGTCCTCAATAAAAACGCGCTGACATTCGTTCGTGCAGCGGTTCAAGCAGTGGGCACAGAAGTGAAGTCAGTCCTCAGGGGTGTCCGCCCCCTACCGTGGAAACGCCTGCCTTCTCCTGCACTGTTTCTATGGATCCAGACCAGACAGGCTTGGATTTCTTGAGGCCGTTTTATATTATTTGTACTGAGCTCACAGTAAAATAAAATTCCTAGCTTGTCTCCACATGGTTACTTCCAGCTCCCCCCCTTCCTGTCTGTATGTAGCTGATGAACCAAAGACTAACATTTACATTGATATATATATTAAATTTTTGTTTTGCTGCACAAGTTTCTGATTCTTGATCCCGTTATCTAACATATCAGTGACCCTGCCTGCTTTGTTGTTGTTAATCCCACCCGAGGATATTTTTTCCACTGATTTTTTTAGAAAGTGGACGGGAGGGAGGAAGAGAGAGAAACATCGATGTGAGAGAGACACATC